CAAAAACCACATGATCACCTCATTTTCATTAGATACAGAAAAGGCTTTTGACAAAATCTACCACCTCTTCATGATAAAAGTCTGAAGAGATTCAGGATACAAAGGAACATACCTCAATATAATAGCCACAGTTTACTGCAAGCCCATATCCAAGTCAACCTAAGTGAAAAGAAACTCAAAGCAATTCCACTAAAATCAGGAACAAGACAAGGTTATCCACTTATTATCTACATACTCATTCAATATAGTACTTAAAAATCTTGGCTAGGGCAATAAGGCAACTAAAGGAGATCAAAGGGATATAAATTGGAAAGGAAGAAGTCAAAGTATCTTTATTTACAGATGATAGGATACTATACACAAGTAACCCAAAAAAATTCTAACAGGAAACTCCTACAGTAAAGAAACACTTTTAGCAACGTAGCTGGATACAAAATTAGCACAACCCATGTGGTGGTGGCCCACACCTTTAATCCCAGCACTTGGGAGGCAGAGGCAGGTGGATCTTTGTGAGTTCAAGGCCAGCCTGCTCTACAGAGCGAGATCTAGGAAAGCTGCAAAGCTACACAGAGAAACCCTGTCTGAAAAACAAAACAAAACAAAAAAATTAACACAAAACTAAGTAGCCCTCATATATACAAATGACAAATGATCTGAGAAAGAAATCAGAGAAAAAACACACTTCATAATAGCCTCAAATAATACAAACTATCTTGAAGTGACTCTAGCCAAGCAAGTGAAAGACTCATATGATAAAATTTTCAGTACATTGAAGACAAAAATTAAAGAAGACATCAAAAAACAAAAAGGGCTCCCATTCTCATGGGTCTGTAGAACTAATACAGTAAAAATGGCATTCTACCAAAAACAGCCTATAGGTTAATTCAGTCTCCATCAAATTCTAGTACAATTGTTCACAGATCTGGAAAGGACAATTTTCAACTTCCTAACGAAAAAAAAAAATAACAAAAAAGAAAGCAGGATAGGTAAAACAATCCTGGACAATCAAAGAACTGCTGGAGATGGCACCATCCCCAATTTAAAGTTGCACTACAGAAGTGTAGTGATTACAAACAAAAAAAGTACCACAATAGCACAAAAACAGACATTTTTATCAATGGAATCAAATTGAAGACTTATACATAACTCCACACAGATATAGACACCTGACTTTTGCTAAAGAGTCCAGAAATACATACTTGAAAAAAGATGGCATCTTCAAAAAAAATGGTGTTTGTCAAACTGGATGTAGAAGAATATAAACAGATCTATACTTTACCCTGCACAAAACTCAACTCAAATGAATCAAAGACCTCAGCATAAAATGAGATACACTAAACCTGAGAGAAGAGAAAGTAGGAAATAGCCTTGAACTTACTGGCACAGGAAAAGAATTTCTGAACAGAACATCATTAGCATAGGCACTAGGATCAACAATTAATAAATGGGACCTCATGAAACTGAACAGCTTCTGTGTGGTAAAAGACACTGTTACTCAGACAAAGCAACAACCTAAAGATTGAGAAAAGATTTTTACCAACTCCACATCTGATAGAGGGTTAATATCCACAATATATAAAGAACTAAAGAAACTAGATATCAAGAAAACATATAACCCAATTTTAAAATGGGGTACAGATGTAAACAGAGAATTCTCAATAAAGGAATCTCAAATGGCTGAGAAATACTTAAAGAAATGTTCAATATCTTTAGCTATCAAGGAAATGTTAATCAAAACTACGTTGAGATTTTATCTTACACTTGTTAGAATGGCTAAGATCAATAACACAAGTGACAGCTCATGCTGATGAGGATGGTAAGCAAGGAGAACACTCCCCTATTGCTTGTGGGAGTACACACTTGTATGGCCACTATGGAAATCAAGATGACAGTTCCTCAGAAAATAGGGAATTGATCTACCTCAAGACCCAGTTCTACCATTCTTGTGCATAAACCCAAAGAATGCTCCATTTTACCACCATGACACTTATTCATCTATGTTCAATGCAACTTTATTTACAATAGCCAGAATTTGGAAACAACCTAGATGTCCCTGAACAGAAAAATGGATCAAAAAATGTGATGTATTTATATAATGTAGTATTATTCAGACATTAAAAATGAAATCATGAAATTTACAAATAAATGGAACTAGGAAAAAAAACATTCCGAGTAAGGTATCCCAGACACAGAAATACACTGTCAGTGCCTTCTTCAGTCATCATCAGAGAAGTTTCCTCTTGCGGCAGATGAGAAAAAGAATATAGAGACCCACAGCAAGACAATAAGTAGAGAGTAAGAGATCTTGGAACACTCAGCCCTAAATGGAATGTCTCCATCAAAAACCTTCCTTCAGAGTTTAGTAAATACCACAGAAGAGGTAATGGTAAGATCTTAAGAGCCAAGGGGGATGAAGGATACAAAAAAACAAGACAAAACAAAACCCAAAGCTGTCTATGTTGACATGTGGAAAACTCAATGAATTCACAGAGACCTAAACAGCATGCATAGGGCCTGCACAGGTATGTAGCAGGTCCTCTGAATATATAGTATGGCTTCCTGTTAGTCTTTTTACAGGATTCCTGTGTGTGCAAACAAGTGAGTCTCTGATTCTTGTGCCTTCTCTTGGGTTCTTTTCCTTCTGTTAGCTTGTCATGTCCAACTTCAATATGATAGCTTTTGTTTTATTTTGTTATATATTTAAAAAAATGAATGAATGAATGGAAACCTAGCCATTAGAGTGAAGGTTAACAACTCAACTGTCACTTATACCTGTTAGAGTGTGAAAATCAGTTTTCTCCAATAGATTGACACTTGGTATATCAACCATTCCAAGACGGGCCTCGTGGTCAGGCATCGCTGGCCAACATATAATGGATTCACATTTTTTTTCTGCATTCTTTTATTTTAATACAGTTTGGTGTTATGAGAGGCCATCAGAGTCTGTTAAAGAATCTCAAGAATTTATTAAGGTATAAAATGGGGATAATATACTCACTGTTACAGAATAAGGAAGACACTACTGATCCTGCTGGTCCAGCTGCTGCTGTCCTGTCCTCCTGCCCCTGAGGGGATGGGCACCAAATTAAGCTGTTCCATTATGCCTGACCTGATCCTTGACACCCAAGAGAGCTAGCTACCAAACAACTTCACCCCCAGTTTTAACCAGTCAATTAGCCAGAGAAAACCATGCCCTTTGGGCCAGACATCTCAAAAGTCATTGGCTGGATGGATTAAACTAACACAACAGTTTGGTGTTTTGTTTTGTTTTGGAGTGGCATTTTATTTTGTTCTCTTGGTTTTGTTAAGTTTTGTTGTGGTGGTGGGTTTTTGTTTGTCTTTTGAGAAACACCTTAAATTTAAAGTTGAGTGGGGAGAGGGAAAGAATCTGGAAGGACTTGACAGATGGGGAGAATATGATCAAAATATATTTGAATTAAAATAAATAAATGGCAAAAAAATATTAATTACATACCGTGAGGAGTATTCATACCCACATAAGAATAATTTGTGGTACTTAAGCCTTATCATCTTATTCAAATAACTAGTACAAAATAACGTCTTGTGATACTAATGTTGTCCATAATTTATATTTGCATTGTCTCCAGTTTGGATTTGCATTGGAATCTAGATAGTGAGAAGCCAAATATCCAAATAAAGAAGTAAAATAATGTTAAAATCTGCCATTTTTCCCATGATTGTGCTTTTTAGACTTGTATTACATGTTTAGGGGTTAGATAAACCATGACAGATTGTCAGATGCATAGAGGCATCACCTGGCTGTCTTTGGACTTAGCCACACTGGGAAGCAGAGGCCAATGAAGAAATCTGACTTTATCTGCCATTGTGTTCAACTTTGTGCAATTTCCTCACACACCTTTTCATTATAACTTTGAAAGAATGTATCTAATAAACTGTAGTCATCTTTGCATTAGAAAAATAGTTTAATCAAAATATTCCTCATTTGATTGGTGGAGAAAGTTGCAAGCTGAGAACGGTTACATGTCAGTTTATTTAACTGATAAAATTTTCACTGCATTGAAAAATATAATCCTATGTTTTTAACTATTTGAACTTGTTCTGAAGGCAAACAAAGGTACAAAACACTTTCACATATTCAAAATAAAACTTTTTCTTGAAATTAGTTTTGTAAAGTTTTTTGTTTGCATGAATTTCATGAGAAACCTCTGAACGTTCAAGAACACTTAATTTTGATATTCACAAGGTTGATTTCGGTGTAGAACTTGTGCTTTTAGAAAAGCTCTTTTTTTAAACAATATAGTGATTGTTTGGCTATTAAAGTAATCATTTTAAAGTGTCGTTTACAATAATAAAAGATAGGTTGACATGGGGAAATGCCCTCTAAACTTCTATGAAAAAAAAGATGATATTCCAGAAATTGAAGCTAAGCATATTCTTCTTTCTTCTTAATGTTTTCTCTCCTTTATCCACTTTCCTCTGTATTTCCCCCTTTATCTCATTCTTCCTTCCCTCATCAAGAGCTGTTTTGAGATTCTTTCCCTTTTCTCAGCTCTCTATGCAAGAGTTGCATCTTAGGTGAAGGCTGCTTCCACTTTGCCTAATATTTGTTCCTACTATCACTTTTGCCTGCCTCTGTGGCACCAACCGTACCTATGACAAGGACAAATGGGCTTATGTTTTCAGGCTTCCTCTCTTCTTAAATCTTGAACTTTATTTTAGGACAACTACAAACTCAACATGTCCCAAATAAACTCACTACATCATTAAGCAAACTTCCTTTCTTTATATTCATTTTAGTTCATGCCTGGTCTGAGAATTTAGTTGAGGTTAGAAACTGACCCTTTGATCCTAACTCTTCCCCTAGTATTCCCAGAGATCCAGCTCTGCTACTGCTAACAGTAAATTTCTTTTTCTATTATTGCTTCCTAGTCAGAGGCACATTCAAGAGTAAAACCATCACCAGCTTCCACCTCTGCTTTTGCAATAAGATCTCTGTAACAGGTTAGGGATCATCTTACCTCTGGAAATGTGCACATGAGAGGCTACAATGCCCCAGTGAGAGTTTCTTGGAAACCGGCCAAAAATGCATCTCACTTCTCCTTGTTCCAGAAGGACCTTGTACAAACCTCTGTTACAGTCCCTGTTGAACTGCTTCACAATTATTGTCATATGTATGTTCCCAAATGGACTATTGGCGTAGATGGCCTTGTTCATCTTTTCTTTTCCATCATGCCTATCACATAAGAAATGTTCAATAAACATTTGTTAAAAGAATGGATAAATTGTGATACTCTTTTCTTGGTGCCATGTTGTCTCAGTACCATAAAAGATTCTTTTTCTGGAAAACAATAGTATTCCAAAGGGAGATTTAATAATTCTGTGACTTGGAAATTAATCCTGTTTGCTTAGGAAGCACATTCTGCTTTTCCGCTGGGAACTTCTGTCTTGCTGATATCAGCAAAACTACACGCAGTGTTTTCTGAGTAAAATTAGTCTTGATTAGTATATATTTGCTTTTTATTTGGAAACTATGAAATATCTAGATAAAAATTAAAGACGATACTTGCTTCTGTCTTGTATTTGTCACTGTATTGCTGCCTTTTCATTCTCAATGTGTTGATTGTTGAGGAAGTTGATTTCTTTTGGGTTCTAGTCACCTGAAGTCTCTTTGATACATTTGATGCAGCAATTCTGCACTTAAACAAATTTTACAATCTTAAAATAACTCCTTATAAAATCTGTATCATTTAGATTCTATTTGTTTAAAATATTTATTTTTTCCAGCTGAAATCCATTCTTCTAGAAGACAAGGTACAGTGACCATTGCAGAGATGCTTTCCAAGTTCAACTTGTAGCCAAGATGATGCCACCAAGAGAGGGAGTGTTGTGGGAAGAGTAAATTAAGCTCATCAGCTGTGGAGAAATAGGTGAAAACTTAAAGGCACATCATCAATAAAAGATGATTATTATTTATTCTATGTGTTTATTTACATTTATAATATCTTTGTTTATTAAATTGTCACTATTAATATATTTTTCTATCCATATTTCAAATGAGAGCTAACTCACCCTAGATAATTATTGTAATCAATGACATAGGTAATCATATATAATTATTTTAGCTCAGCTTTTGTGCATATCAGCACTCAAACCTTTTAGGCACTTTCTTAAACAGTTTCCACCTTCTGGTTATGATCAGCTCCCCTTGGGAAGGGGACAAAGGATGTATGTAGAAAAGGACAAGACTGTCATTGGGACATAAAATTGATAACATATCCCAGAATGCAATGTGCCCTCATGAAAATGATTTAGAGACTGTAAAATCTGCCGAGGTTAATCAAGGTGTATTAATGGCTTTTTGAAATCCCTTACATTTGAGTGGGTGAAGACAGGGAAGGCATCGAAGAAAAAGGAAGACATTTGGTAGCTAATGCTTAGGGGCTGGGATGTTAAAGATTCTCATGTTTATCCTTGATTATCATCTCCAAACACTGGGAGCTGGCAAAGATTCCTTCCCCTTTGCAAAATAAAGTTGTGGAAGTCCAAACTAAAACCAAAACCTACTTATTTGGACTACAAACAGCTGTTGTTCAGCAACACTGAAGTGCTCATTCACCCTAAAATAGGAAATTGGGTTCATTAACCCACAGGTTTTGATTATTTTTTTCCTTAAGGTAAGCCTTTATTAAATGAAAACCATTGGAGGAATAATAGTTCCTTTTCATATTTGGTTTTGGTGGCTTATCTACCTGTGTACCTTTAAAGCACACATCTTTTGCGGGGGGGGGTGTTTTTATTTTTTTATTTAAGAAATATTTTTAGACATTCAGGCCCAGCGGCGGCCCGCTGAGGTAAACGGGCCCGGCGGCAGCGGCCGACAGGGACATTCAAGCCCTGCAGCGGCCGACAGGGACATTCAAGCCCGGCAGCAGCCGGCAGAAACATTCAGGCCCAGCGGCGGCCCACAGAGGTAGACAGGCCTGGCGGCATAGACAAGCAGACGCAGGTAGGCCTGCGGCGGCAGCCCGCGGAGGTAGACGGGCCCAGCAGCAGCCTGCTGAGGTAGACGGGCCCAGCGGCGGCAGCCGACAGGGATATTCAGACCCGGCGGCAGCTGGCAGAGACATTCAGGCCCAGCGGCGGCCCACAGAGGTAGACGGGCCCAGCGGCGGCCCGCTGAGGTAAACGGGCCCGGCGGCAGCGGCCGACAGGGACATTCAGCCCCGGCGGAAGCCGACAGAGACATTCAGGCCCAGCGGCGGCCCATAGAGGTAGACAGGCCCGGCGGCAGAGGCAAGCAGACGCAGGTAGGCCTGCAGCGGCGGCCCGCGGAAGTAGACGGGCCCAGCAACAGCCCGCTGAGGTAGACGTGCCCAGCGGCGACAGCCTACAGGGATATTCAGGCCCGGAGGCAGCCGGCAGAGACATTCAGTCCCAGCGGCGGCCCACAGAGGTAGACAGGCCCGGTGGCAGAGACAAG